CCTCCATGCTGTGGCAGTGCCCTGTGAGATGACAGGGATGGCTGAGGGGGACAGCAAGGCCTGGCAGAGCCAGGAGATGCAGAGGTGCCCTGCCATGTTATGCCAGGCTGACTGTGCCTTGCACTGTCCTCAGAACAGGGCCCGGGGCCCCATGCACCCCAGCATCTGCATTTCCAACGTGAAAAGGTTGCTCTTGCAGCAAGGGAGAAGATAAAGCAGAGCCCACAGGGTGGCCATGAGCAGCTCTTCCAGCTGCAGGGACCATCTGTAACTAAACAGCTGCTCTTCGCTGGGCCCTGTGCCTCAGTGACACTCTGGTGATCATCTGGGGCATTGCAGGGGCTCTGGGCTCACCAACAAGCCAGGAGCTGGGGCGGTGCAGCCACAGAGCCCTGGCACGCATAGGAGAGGGAATTACATGTGGAGCCAAGGGTAGGGCAGAGCAGCAGCCTCTGGCTGACTGTCCAAGCCCTGGGCCAAGTGCTGCTGCTCCTCCTCAGCCTGGCTTCAGCTGCCTCCCGTGGATGCCCAAGAGCAGCAGCTCAGACTGTCAGCACCTGAAAATGTTACAGGCAGCTCCAGGTGCTGTGGGCCAAATGTCAGGGTGCACCCCTGCCTGTTCTGGGGTGTCTCCATCCCTCTCCTGCCCAAAGTGTGGAGGGGGCTCCTGTGCCCCAGGAGCTGCCAGCCCTCATCCCCACGCCTGGGCTGGGCCCTTGCTCTGAGGGCTTGTGAGGAGACAAGACCCACTGCTCTGGAGACGCGGATGGATGCGGGCTGGGAGTCGGCTGCCACAGGGAGAAATCTTCCAGGGAGTCAACCTGGGAGTCAACCTAGGAGAAACCTTCCTGCGTGGGGCCAAAGCTAATATTTGCAGTAGCCAGTGGCACCACGGCCCATCCTGGGCAGCTCCTCTGCCCTTCCCTGTGTTATCACAGACTTATCTGCTTGAGGCATGGGGCCGGGCACGCAGCACCTCGCCCTGTGGCCTCGAAGGCGCCAGGATGACCACGGCCAAACATGCGGGTGGCACGGCCCAGCTGATTGGCATCCCATGGCAGCAAGGTCCAAGGTGATGCCAGGGCACGACTGGCCAGGCACAGGGCTGCAGGCGTGTGCTGCCCAGTCCCACACCCTGCCACGCCGGGCCCCTGCAGCACTGGGATGGGGAAGGCTGCTTGCCAGGCTCCTGTCTCAGCCAGGGGTCTCCCCAAAGGGCCTTTCTCCCCTCCAAACAGGCTCCCCCCACGCTGCCTGGCTGGGCTCCACGGGCTCTGCCGCGATCCCCCAACGCCTGCCCCAGGGGGCAAAGGGCCCCACACAGCCCCACCCTGTGTGCCAGCCGTGCGCCAGGCCACGAGGAAGGATCTGGGGCAGAATCCTGTTGTTGTGGTGTCCCCAGTCAGCGATCAGGAGGATGGTTGACCCCCAGCGCAGGGGCCGGTGGGGTTCGGGGCCAGGCACACACGCTCTGGCAGCGGGCACGGGGCGTTCGAGGCCAGGGTGGATGCCTGGCTCATGAGTCACCTTCCCGCGGGTCGGGAAGGGGCGGAGGGATGAGGGAAGGCTCCAAAGGGGTTTCCCGCTGCTTGCGCCCTCTTGCACTTCCTGGGTGCCTCTGTGTTGTGTCCCCCCCACCACCTCTTGCCCCGTTATCTCAGCCTGTGTCCCACGGGCAGTGCTGGGTATGAGGAGTGCCAGGGCTGTGGGCACCATGCATGGGCAGCCTGGCGCCGCATCCTCCCTGCCTGGCCTGGCGCCTGCCCACGCTGATCTTTGTGGGCAGGGGAGAAGCAGATCCACAGATAGAAACATGGAGAGAGCCAGTCAGGGCTTGTGAGCAGTACTGCTCGGGGGAGCCTTGGCCCTGGCTTTCTTCACCCTGCTTAGCCTCCAGCTGTGCCAGCCACATGCCAGCGAGCACAGTGTGCAGCCCTCCAGGGTTTTGGGAAGCCCACGGCTTTCCCTCAGCTTCTGGGACCGTCAAGCCAGACATTCCCTTAGGATCTGCAGCAGGCTCAACCCTGGGGAAAAAACAGCTTGACAGGGAACTCCTCCACAAGGAGTAGAAATCCTTCAGCAGAAAATTCCCACCGAGAAAGGCAGCACGATTCCCAGGCTGTCGCAGGGCTGGGAGTGGAGGCGAGCAGACTGTGCTGGGTGCTCTCACCAGCAGTGCTCTGGGCTCACTGGGCCCCCAGTGTGCATGTCTGCCCTGGCACCCCATGGGCATGCCAGGCGGGAGGTGTCCATGTACCCACGGGCATATACAGGCCTGCTGAGGGGACTCTTTTTCCTGTCAGGTTTGGGTGCTCTCCAGGAGTGGCTACTAAAGCCTTGGATTTACAAGTCAAAACATCCTGAAGTGCATTCCAGGGGATAAAGACCAGGATGAAACAAGAGCAAACCGCGGGGGAGGGCTGAGGAGGCTCTGGGCAGCAGGACCTGCACACCCACCTTCCTTTCCCAGCGAGCTGCCGGAGCTCGGGTGCCTCTGGGGTGGTGCTGGTGGGACGGCTTCCTCCGCCTTCTGCTGCAGCAGCTGGGATGGATGCAGAGCTGTTTACAGACCCGGCGGGCAGCAGGGTGGGAGCTGCACAGGGCAGCTGTGGAGAAGGACCTCTGGGGTGGTTTCAGCCTTCCAGCTCCTGCAGCACCAGTGAGACGCTGTGCTGGGGACCCCAATAGCCACCGTGTCCCCTCCTGGGGAGGCCCAGCCCT